TGCGGCTGGGCACGCCACGATTGGAGGCGGCGCCAACGCAGGCGGCGACGGCCGTGCGCCAGCCTCTCGTGCGACTGCTCACGACTTGGCCACAACCGGCTTCGCATCGACCGTCGGCGTCGCGGGCTCCGTCTCGAGCCTGCCGACGACCGACTGCCGCGTCGGATCAAACGGCATCACAACGGATCCACGAGGCACCGCCTGCGGGTCGGGCGTGCCGCTGCCGGGCGAGACCGAGTAGTTACCGCCGGCGGGGCTTGGGATGCTAAGCCGATCCAGCTGCGCCGCCGCGCAGCCCGGTGCCGGCGCAGGTGCGGGCAGGCTGTCGTCGCGGCCTTCTCCCGACGTCCGTGGCTCGTGCAACTGTGGCTTGGCCTCGTGTTCCGGGCTGTCCACCTTGCCATCGCCGCCGGTGTTCTGCTCGGCAGGCGGCGCTGTGATAATCTGCGGGGTACCCGCGGCCGCATGGGCTTCTGCCGGGGCCACGGCCTCGGCAGGACTGCCCGCAGGGTCTGCGGCAGGCTCGGCCGCGGGAACCGCCTCTTTTGCCTCGGCGTCGTTGCCTGCGGCGGCGACCGACTTGCGGGCCTCGACAGGGGATGCGGCCACCTCGGACGCCGGGCCGGCGGCCGATGCGGACGGCGACGACTTGCTCGGGCTCTGCCCAGGCTGGTGCTTGTCTGGCGCCGCGGCGAGCGCCGACGCGTCGAGTCGGCCGATCTGCAGCTCCTTGTTGTATGGTATAAAGTGCAGGTCAATGTAATCGAGCGCCTTTTCGATCGCCTCGGTCTCGGGGTCCACGGGCTTCTTCTTCTTCTTGGACGACGATCGGCTGTCGGTGCCGTTCTTCTTCTTCTTGCGCGGCTTGTACTGCAGCGTCTTCATGTCGTTCATGATGACCTCCTCGATCTCATGTGTCGCCTCAAAGTTGGCGTTATTGGGCTGCCGAACCGAGTCGACATCAAGCGCAGGCGTCAGCGCAGCCACATCATACTTGCAAATCTGCTTTGGCCAATTCGACACCCACATCTGGAACAAAGCTGGGGACAACCGCTTTCTTCCCGGCCTTGTCCCAGTCAAAGCCCGCGAACCATGGATGCTTCTTGATCTGGGTCTCAAAGCCGTCCGGGCCGGATCCGATGCGCTTGCTGACGTCCTTGACGAGAAGGTCTTTGAGAAACGATGTGCGGCCCTCGGACTCCACCCACTCTGGCAGCGGCTTCTCCTTCTTGTTCTTCTTGCGCATGGCCTGGACGCGCAAGACGTGTTCAGGTGGGCCAACCGGGAACTTGGGCTCCGAGTGCACGATGGCTTCGACGAGAGTTCGATCCTCAGACTCGCGGAAAGGTCGCTGCCGATCGCGTGCCCATGCATACGTGTCAGCAGGAGCCTCACAACCGGCGTCACTTGCACCCGCGCTTACATAGCCGTAGGTGCATTCGTAGAGAACAACGCCCAGCGCCCACCAGTCGACAAAGACGTCGTAGGGCTTCTTAAAAAACATTTCCGGTGCTATTTGCGCACGCGATAGGGAGATAAGCGCGTTCCGCCAAAGTATTGGAACGGAAAATGTCAGCGACAACGCACAAGGCCCACAGCAGCATTACTAAACTTGCCCATGTAGGCCATCGATCCTGACTGGGAAGAAGGCAGCTTTTCTTTGATTTTGTATGCAATGTTGAAGTCGGTCACGTAAATGTGTCCGTTTTCGTCCAGAAGAAGGTTGTCTGGCTTTAGATCGCTGTTGTTGTCGTTTGGAATCAGACATGAGCGATCCAGACCACGTTTCAACAGAGCCAGTGGTCTGCGTACCGATGCATGATGCGCAGGCTGTGCAGATACTGCAGCGCAAGACCGATTTCGGCGGCATAGATCCTGAGAGTGTCCTCGGGGAACGAACCGATGCGGAGCAGGTGATAGCGAAGATCGCCGCCAAGCGCAACGTCGAGCACCATGAACATGTTCTCGTCATCCTGGAAGGCGTATCGCAGATTGACAATGAATGGGTTCTCGAGACTCTCGAGCAGCATGCGCTCGTCAAACATGTGATAGACCTGCTTCTTTTCGATGCATTGGAGCTTGTTGATGTACTTGAGCGCATACTTTTTCTTTGTTGCCTTGAGCTCGACGAGCTTGACCTACCGATGCGCAACGAAGCGGGTAAAAAAGAGTAATTGAAGTCGAATATATCATGGAGTCAGCTCTGCACACCGGAATGCTTGCGATGAGGTGCGTCGGGTCAACTTGCCTTTCCAAAGGCACCCTTTCCAATGACTTGGCGCAGTTTGAAGTCGCGCAGGTCGACTGGATTCCCAATGACGGCGCGGGCGTGAAGGCGTGCGCATGCGCGCGCGCATGCCGTGTTTGGTGTGGGGGCGCCGCGTGAGTGTGGGGCGAGATTCGCAGCGGGCGTGTGCGAAAAAGAGCGGCGCGAGATGTTGATATCGCGGAACAGCGCGCGAGTGGGTCGCAGCGGGTCAGTAAGCGGTGCGAGCGAGCAGAGCATCCGATGGCCGCGGCCGCGGCCATCAGACAAAAGCTCTGCAATGCCCTCGCTGGTGCGTCGTGCTACCTTCGCCTTCTTGGCGAGGCTCCTCCTTGCTTGCCCTTCCGCCCATGGTTGCGGCTTCTCAGACGACAGCGCGGATGTCTGACGCCGACAACAAGCGCAGATGCGGACAGAAGCGGTGGCTGTGGAAGGGGCTCGATCTTGGTGTGCGCAGTGCCAGCGTCCTGTCGAGCGAGCGACCGAGAATGGTGGGGCAGCGAGGAAAGCGATGCGCGATTGTGCGGTGAGCGGGCAAGCGTCCAGAGTCGCTCCGCTTTGGCCAAGGGAGGGCTGTGGAGAAGCGCATCCACGGTGAGGCACGAAGGAGGGGGGAACAAACTACTGCGACCCGACAACGGGACGCAGCGCCGTACTCACAGGCCCGCCGTACCCCATGCGTGTGGATGATCGAGGTAGACGGCTCGCGGCCGGCGCAGTCTTTCCCGATGCTATGCGCGACTCTTCGACTTGCCTCGCGCATCAGCAACGCGCGCCATGATCGTCAAGTGGGATTTTGTCAAGCGCCTGCATTTGGACCCAAAGTACGGCCTGCTGAACGCCCGCACAGTCAATATGCTGCTCGAGCTCTTCAAGATGCTCGACTGGCGCGGCTCGGGGAGCCTTGACGACGTGCAGTTCCAATGCATCATGACGCACGCAACCGACCTGAAAGAGTCGCAAATATACAAGATTTTTGATCTCTTTGACCTCGACGGCTCTGGCTCGGTCGAGTTCGATGAGGTACGCGCTCGCAGCCGCGTCGCACTCGCGACGAAGCCAAACGAGGACCATGCGCGACCTTTGCGGCTGAGTGCCGAGTTACGGCTGCCCCGCCCAGAAGCCAACGTCTGACCGCTGGCTAACCATACGACTAGTTTTACCTCCTCATCTGCATCCTCGTCGCCATGAAGGACGGCACCGCCAAAAACTTTATGTTTCAGAATTGGCGCTCGTGCTTTGAGATTTTGGATGCCGATGGATCGGGTGACGTCTCGCGCAAAGAGTTTCAAACCCTTGGCTTTCTGTTCAACTTTACGCCAGCCGCCATTCGGCGCATCTACCAAGAGTTTGATGTCACTGGAAACTCGGTGCGCAAGCCCCGTGATCTCCAGCAATGGCACACTCTGGCTGCTAACGCAAACAGGCATGCAGGAGCTTGACAACGAAGACTTTCAGCTTTTTGTACTCGCTGCGATCGAGCTGCAAGCCGATATGGATCGCAAAGGCCAGACAAACAACCAGACATTCAATCCGCTGGCTTTGGGTGTCCGGAAGCTGATGAATGGCCTGCTTTCAATGTTTGGCAGTGGTAGCGAGTAAAACTGCACACGCTTGTGACCTCGTAACGTCAACTCATACAAGATCAGTAGGCTGCCTGATTAACTAACCGCCAAGTGCCAAGGGAAGCAATGCCCTTCTCTGCGCTCGAATTGCCGGGAAGCAGGCGGCGGCTGTGGGCAGCGGCACCACAGGTGCTTCGTGGGGTGGCAAGCTGCGTTCATTGAAGAGCAAGAAACAAACGCGGCGCCGAGTGCCTATGTGGACTGGCTACGCCTCACTCGAGAAGAGCATTGGCTGTCGGCTGTCGGCTACTCTCATCCCTGAGCAGCCGCGTGCCGCGCACGGAACTGGCGCACATGGGCCGACTTCCTCGTTGGATGGCACGCATACTGACATTGAGCACGATTGCCCATTCACAGCGCCGCTCCAGGCACACAGCGCATCCTGCTCGAGACGTGTTACGCTGCGAGCCATGCGACGCGAGTCTGCGAGCCATGCGACGCGAGCCTACGAGCACCTGGCGCGGCATTCGTGGCGAGCACACCGCATCTCTCGCCGCATGCGACGCTGCCATCGCAACAAGCAAAACAACTCAACCAACCCACAAGAGCCGCAAAAACGAAAAACATGTTCCCACCACCACCCCAAGATGCTCTTTGCTTCTTGGCGAGCACTGTATCTCCCATTCTCATGTGTTGTTTACCCGGCGCAGGCTCGCTCTCACGGCAGCCAAGTTTCGCAGGCCCGAAGGGGAATGTCCTTCAGTGATGGGCCTGGCGTTGTCGTACTTGCGGATCCAACTTTGTGGCTCGACCAGGAATCGAACCACAGAGCAGAGCCTGCAAACCCGGCCGCCATGACCACTCGCCCACGCCAGCAACAAGTGCTTGCGAAACTCCGCCTGGTCAAAAGCACGTGGGCGAAGCAGCAGGCGGTGGTGAGGTGTCTGAGTAAATGGCCGGTTGATGTGAGGAGCCCCGAGCTGATGCACAGCTGGGGTATGTGTCACACATACAAAAAAGCAGCCGGAATCACCTGCATGCTTGTGTGATGGTCTGCGGGGCACGCCACGCGGCTGCGCCGTGCCGCGCCGCGCCGCAATGCGCTGCCGTCTGCACCAGTGCGCGGCATGGTTGTACTGCGCGCTGGATTTCGCGAGGACATCAGAAAGTCCGCGTTGGTCCAGTGGTTAGGATTCCGGTCTCTCACACCGGCGGCCGGGGTTCGATTCCCCGACGCGGAGCTTCCGTTTTGCCGCGTGCCGTCTG